CATATTATAACATCGACTGAGATAAGGAATAAAATGAATATTAAAATCATGATGTATCTCGCTGCATTGTGCGAGTACGCTTCTAGTTTTATTATAATTTAATTGAGTTTTAATAATAAAGTAATTCATTTTTATTTTAATAATGTAATTTTTTTATAAATATAATAATTAGTATCTTGTTAGAATTTAATGATTATCTTAAATATATTTTAGATTTTTTATATTTAAAATGAGATACTTATCCAGTATTTGATTATGTTTATCTGCAGTTAGTTACATGAATTCAAACATCGAGCTTTAATAAGTTGTATATAAGCACAGTTTACTTGTAATATTGATTTTTAAGTAATATGCATCAATAAACAATAATTCTTACATAAAATAGTTTTTAAGAATTTTTTTCAAATGTTTTGTAATATAGCATAGATAAAGCAAGATGCAATATTCTATTATCGAACCATAACCGGAAATTAATTCAATTTCTTATTAAATAATAAAATCAAAGTAATGTCTAAATTAGATAGAAATTAGAGATGGAAATTCAGACCGTTTTGATGATTTAAAAGCCAGGTTAAAATTCAAAGAAAAATATTGATATTTATGTCAAATTAAATATAAGAAATTTATTGTTTTTTGATATAATAACTTGTGTCAATTCAATGTTTATTAGAATTTTCACATTTTAAATTTAAAAGTTAAAATGTGGTTGATTTTTTTTATTAACCTGGATATTCAACCCGCTATGCGAGCCGACTAATCTCAATGCGACCACCTTCTTTGCAAATAGTCCGGAATCACCGCATTTGAACCTCCGTGTCCACAAAGAGATTTTTATATTTCATTGGATTTGAATCTGTGACCTCTTGGTACTTTTGACCTTTGGAGCCAAGCTCAAACCAATCAGACACCACTTTTATGGTTAAATGTGGTTGATTTTAAAATTAGCAACTGAGTGTTTTTGTGGGGATGAAGACAATGATTGAGTCTTTTTCCCCATGTGAATATATGAAGCATTTTGTTCTATTAGTAGTAATCATTTATTATTATGTACTTGAACATGTTTTTACTTAGTTATTAGTCTGTTTTATTGAGTTGAGATGATATGGAAATTTGTACGTACATCGTAGCTACTTAGAAGGTGTTTAATTTTGACTTATTAAGCTTAATGGCTTAACGGGTTTATTCGTACAAACATTTTGATTTGTTTACTTGCAGGTTAATGAACAAAATCATCTTTATATGCACAACCATAATCTAAACGGCGAGATCAGAAACTCATCTCTCTCTCGACTCAATATTGACGCCATTGATGCTTCTTCCCGCACCTCTTTCTCAACTCTGAAGCCCCTTCATCTCCTTCCCATTTCATCCAAGAAACACAAAACCCTAATGTCTCGACTCTGAAGCCCCTTCACCCCCTTCTCATCTCATCCAATAAAAACAAAACCCGAATTTCTCGTCCTAACCACAGACGAGAAGAGGGAGAAGAAACCTTGATGTTGGTTGAAATTGGTAAAATGGTAAACCCTAATTTTAATTTTAATTTTTTATTAACCTGGACATCCAATCCGCCATACGAGCCCCTAATTTTAATTTTGAAACATCAATGTTGGTTGAAATTGGTAAAAGGGTAAACCCAAATTTAATTTTGAAACTTTGATGTTGATTAAAATTTGTAAAATGGATTGAGGGGTAAATGGTCAATTCGGTCGTTCAATTTGTTGATTCGGGGGGGGGGGGGGGGGGGNTCTTACGCTTCCCACTTTAACTATTTTTCTCACACGATCCTTCGTCATATATAATAACGAGTAATGGACAACGAAAAACCATATTCATACCATACGCAATAAACTGGATGTTTTTATTTGTATAGACAAATTTACCTGTACAGAGCTATAATTTAATGCACCTCTCGGATATCAAAATTTACCCGTGCATTTTAATATCTTC